CCCCAAGAATGGGAGTTTTTAGCCACACATCAAGAAATAAGAAATTATACATAACATGATAAAGAAATCAGCTGGTATAAGAAACTAAACCTTGAATTAACCTACGAAAGAAGAATAAAGAAGACCCACTTCCAACTTGGGGAAGATGAACTCTTTTCTTCAAGTGTTCACAAAACCCTCTCCAAACTTGAGAGAAAAATACTATAGACTAATAATAATTTTTTACTCTAAAATTGTTCCTCAAAGACTACAACTCTAACTAGTATTTATAGTTTTCACAGATTGTGCTGCGGAGGATCGTTCGACGACATTAGTCGAGATCGCCGGTGAACTCGGTGATCCGCCCTTTAATCAACTCATCGCCTTCAGTGTCTTGCCTTCAGCATCTTCATATTCTGGATCATTGGGTGGTGCAGTACTGCTTCGTGGAACTAGTCGGTGACTCGCCAACTGCTCCTTTCCTCGCCTTTTGATCCACTTCCTTCAAGGCTTCGCGTACTAGAACAAAGGGTTGTGCATGTCAATTCGGCGACTCACCAAGTTGGACTCGGCGATCCACAGACTTTCATTTCTTGTTCTTTTCAGCCCTATTTGCTCCATTTTGCGCCTAAGTGTCCATGCTTCCAGTAAAACTTCAAATACCTGAAACTTAAGCATTTTAATCAGGTATTGAGATAAAACAAGCATTCGAGGACACTATTTCTATTAAAATAAAGTCCTGAATGAGTCCAATTTGTGGACTCATCACCCTTATATCACCATCCGCCAAAATCGAAGGATTCACCGAGACTTGTTCACCTTGAGGAACTTGCTCAATTGGAGGAACTTGATTGCCTTGGGGAGGAACTCCCTCATTCACAATCTCCTCTTCAACTCTTCTTGCGGCTGTCCTTCTAGTATTCATATCCTATATGCACAAGAAAAGCATTAGAAGAAAAGTACTTTATAGAGTTAAGACTCTTAAGGCATTACTAATGAATCATGAAGAAAGTGAGAATTCCTAAGCCTCTCATGGCCTCTCATTCATAAGTGTGGCGCGCTAAACACTCATGAACAAGATACTACTAGAAGTGGTTAATGAGACATCAATCCTAATAATTATTCCAAAACTTTATGCTCTGATACCAAGTTTGTCACGACCCAAGTCTACACCCCGGAAGTAACACGACGTATTCGACCCCAATGGGGTCTCATACTAGCCCTTAGCGCGTACGTCATTGCACAAGACATCAAAATAATGCGAGAATTAAAACTTTCCACAATCAATGTCAAGTCTTTTCCATAGAAGTATAATAGGTTACTAGACCTTGTCTCATTTACCAACTAAGTACAATAAGGAAATCCAAATTAGGGAACGTTAGCCCTTACAAAACATATAGTCTCAAAAGAAAGTACTTATAATGTCCACTATATTACTACAAATGAAAACATAAGCAACTTCAACATTGTGTCCTCGGCTCTTGAGGACATACAAAGCCTTGGAGGAAATCAAATCCAAGCCTTCACTCCTTGCGAACAAGAACTTACTTTCCGGAGCCTACAGTTAGTAGAAAAGTAGGAGAAATATGGGTTAGTACAATCAATTGAACTAAGTACGGAAACCCTGCATAAAACCATTTAAAAACATCCATAAAAGGACCTTTGGTGAAAACCATACCATTTCAAGTTCAAAAGTCATAATTCACATTCAAGGAAATACATAGTCAATCCATGCCATAAGATAAAGAGCTGTTCATGTTCATAATGTAACGACCCGAGAGCATCCCCTAGTCGTTACCGGTGTATTCGACCTCGAAGAGGTCTTATACAAGCCCTTAGCTTTCTTCATAGCATATATATCATAGAATAAAATCTCGGAAAATTTAAAACTTTTACTTTGGAAGTTCAACTTCACTTCATATATGAAAAATAGAATCTAACTTCGTCACAATATACCATCTAGACATAGAAGTATCGAAAATGGGACTTAGCCCTTACATCAATAAGAAGTCTTGAAATAGGAAAGTACAACAATGTCTTTCAACAGAAGCAAAGAACTAAACATAGAAGCTAGATCATAGGGTCTTGTCCTCGGACTTGAGGACTCACATACTCCAAGTGTCTTGAGAAGTAAGCTTGAATCCTCAACGGCCCGAACCTAAATGTTTGGGGAAAAAGGGAAAAGAATATGGGTTAGTACAACACACATACTAAGTATGGCTACTATGCATAAAAAATCATTGAAACATGCATAAAAGGACATTTTATTCAAAACATGCTTTTTGCCGAGTAAATCCAATATGCACACAAATTTAGTATCATAGTCCAAACCAACATAATATCATCCCAACATGTAGACAACCCAAGCAATACTAGTACAATGCAAAGAATAGAATCCCATAACCATATTCAAAGCCAAGTATCACATTAAGCAACCTACTCCATGCATACATTCATAAGATCATATTTCATCATAACTTACCATATTCATAATGATCATACATAACATAGCTTCAACATACATAAGCTGTAATCGTAATCAAATTTATTTGATACCAAATTCTTTATTTTCTGACATTTTCCGACAAGAAAATGTACAAACGGCAACATTAATTTGGTGACATTACAAAATGTCGTTTTTAGCGATATTTAGTGAAAGTGTCATTTATTTTCTACAAATGTCGAATATAATATGACATTTATTACAAAATGTCATTGGTTTTAGTGACATTTAGAAAAAATATCGCTTAAATAGTGACATTTAATATAAATGTCGAATATATTATGACATTTACTGCAAAATGTCATTGATTTTAGTGACATTTTTTCTAAATGTCACTAAAATAGTGACATTTGTTGTAAAATGTCATTGATTTTAGCGACTTTAAGCAAAAGTGTTGCTAAAATAGCGACATTTAATACAAATGTCGAATATATTACACTACTAGAATTTCGTTGTTTGCTGACTTCAAAATTGGTCGGAATGTAGTAGGAAAATGGAGTTTTTCGATGACTTTCCAACAACTTTTGAGTAGTCAGCAGACTAAGCGTTGGAACATACTTGCCGACTACCGTAGTCACTACATATAAATTAAAACCCGACCATTAAAGTACCTGAATTGCTGACTATTGTAGTCAGAACGGTAGTAAAATAATATTTTATTAATTTTAATACTATTGACTACTGTAGTCGGAATACTTATTAAATAATAATTTATTAATTTAATAACGCCGACTACGGTTTTCATAATAGTTAATTAATTAACTATTAGGTGATCTTCCGACTATTGTAGACGGCATTTTTAATTTTATAAAAAATAATTCTATATGAAAGCTACTTTTAATACACAAAAAACCGTAGCGAAAGAGGTATAAAGGACACGCTTTGTAGTAATTCATTAGCAACACCTTTTGTTTGATTATACAACACTTAAAAGTGTGGCCTTTGCTTAGTTATTGGTCACACTTAAAAAGTGTCGCCTTTTATATCTCATCTACGACAACACTTATAAAGTGTAACTTTTCTAATGTACAAGATAAATTTTTTAATCAATAAGCCACACGTTGGACGTCCCTATATCAACATTTTTGAAGTTTGACAATGTTGTGTAGAATCTTTGTAGCCACAATTTTTCATTTTGGAGAATAATAATTTTTATTTGCATATATTCAATAATCACATAATTAAATATATATAAGTGATCAAAAGCACAACATTAGCTAATAAATAAATCGAAGGAATATATTTCAAATAAATTTCGGGAAACATGTCATGTACAACCGATACTTAAAAATTAATTGCTTAAAGATCTCTACTATCAATAAATTCCACAAAACCCAAATGCATTCAAACATACATGACAATAGTACAAAAACTCTTCATTGTTCACTACAATAGATTGAGTTTACTTCTGGCCAGTATTCAAATTCAATTACTGGCATTTTCCTACACATTCAAAATAAAAATAAGTTAGTGAAATAAATCGTGTATTTAATATCCTCAATATTAGTCACTTTTAACAATACCTTCCCAGTCCCTTCCCATTGTAGTGGTACTGTTATGAAAAATGAGTAAAAAAATGGAATGCTGGTGTAATTTCCCTTAGGCATAAATGGACTGCTGGAAGACAACTCTTTATAAATTTCAACATTTTAAAGACAAGAGACATCTAAAAGAAACAAAGAATCATTTGCAAAGCTAATTCATCTTGAAGGTAGTGCCTTCCCAAGACAACATATAGGCTACTGATCCACATTAAAATGCAAAATTTCATTCTATCAAAACTTAAAGAAAAATGAAGCTCACAGAGGTCACAATCAGCAAAGAATAAGGCAGATTCATTTGTCAGTAGAGAACAAACACTTATGCGAATCACAACTCGAAAGAGATAATACGAAGTACCTAGACAACGACTGTTTCATACACTTGCTCAGCTCTCATCGCTAATATTTTTTCAGCCAATGTTTCCATGTCTATTGTTGTCAGATCACAACTCAAAAGAGATATTAGTGTTTTTTTTAGTGGGAAAATTTCACTATGGAGCAGTTGATCAGTATTGACAAAGAAAGTGAAAGTCATATTTTAAACTCATTCTAGACGACAATGAAGGAATGACCGAGATAGATATTGTCTCATTATCAACAGATGCAAGATTGAGGGATGAAGATGATTGAGCTTCTCAAAGTATAAGCGAAGAGCATTTGTTCGTTGTCTTTTGCCCTGCGGGAACAACATATGGTGACAAGTAAAGCAAAGAAATTATTCATAGCAGGATCAAATAAATTAAGGAAAGACGATTTGACCGCGACGGTATGCTGTACGTAACAGCTACTCGTTTTGCAAGAATAACAGCGTGCTCGTGCAACAGTTGTAGTAGTACAACCCCTTCATTGTCCGTTAGATCGTCCCATATGGTAAACATGAAAGGCTTCTTGCTGAATAGTATGATTGAGAACAAGTTGATCCCCATAAAAGAAGATAAATCAAATAAAAGCTAGAAAGTAAATGTTGTTGTTCTCATTTTTACCGAAAACTGAAGGACTTACTTGTTGTCCATAAAAATGGCCTCTCGGTATGACTTGGTTTGATCAGCTGTATATTGCATTGTGCTGCAATTTTCTACCACTGCCAGTCTGTTGAAGCAAAAGGAATAAACAGATTCAAGCAAAAATGAACCGCGGCAAAGTTACACGAACACCAAGAGTAGAACCAATAACAAATACATCATCAACAATATCAGCGCTATCATCAAACCAATCAATCAAGGGATTTTCAACCCAAATGTAACATCTATTGTTGTTGCATCCAGGCTGCAATTTTGGTTTCAATATGCAGTCACCACAGTAATTAGGATTGGAATAAGTGCATTGGGTGGAATTACATACACCAGGTTTTTAAGTTGAACTTTTGAAACCTTTGTCACAATCCACCCATAAGCTTCTACCACCAAGATGGACTAAAAGTTTTATGGAAATTAAAGGAGTTCTTTGACTTACTTCTGTGATGTATTCTCGAGTTTATGCATCTTTAGTGACGGGAAGGTATTGTAGAGTTGATGCATCTTTAATTTGTGCTAAACAGATTCAAGAATTTCATCACAAAATGCCAATTACTTTGATGTATAAAGGAACAAATTTTGTGCCAAAATGTCATGGTATCAACAGAGAATTAGAAGACAAAAAGAATAAATATTTGCACCTAAGTCTCCCAAGAACAAATTCTTGATTGCAGCAGCTGCGCAATACATATATACCAGCAAATACTGATACCAGCAATATTTAACAGCAATCTGCCATAAACTTGACGGGCCACCGGACCAAGGCCATAAGTTGTGCAATACTAATACTAGTACTATTAAACAACAATCTGCCTCAATCGCGTTTGCAAATTCGAGCAAGTTCGGAGCAGATTCGTGAAGAATAAACCACTGGGGATTCTTCCCCTCCCCTACCCCACTAAGTCCTGCCCTGATCTACCCTATTTATCTCTTTTGTAATTCCCTACTTCTCCATAAGTAAAATGCGCTTTCCTCACCATTGCTATCATTTGATGAAGAGTAAGTTGTGGTATATATGAGAAAAGAAAGCACAGCTTGTCTCTTGGCTGTTACATTTCCTAAAATTCATATGTTAGGATTTGGGAGAAGCCTTTGTAGTGCAAGTTCAATGTAAGTTTGTTCCATTCTTTCAATTACTTTATGACTTATAAACTCTTTCACCCAAAATGCAAGTGTTGTTCTCACTTCCCTGCCCTGCCCCGCCCTGCCCCACCCTTGACCTGCCCCATTGCCATCCCTATTAGTAGATCAATGCCAACTCAAAGTCCACTTCAGGCCAAAGAACAGTAGCAGCAGGAGAAAAATCCAAAGAGGGGTCCTGTAAATCTTTCCAAAATTTCCAGCACTGTATTAACTATTTCCAGAATTTCCAGCACTGTATCCAAGACCCCACTTATGGGACTACATTGGGTTTGTTGTTGTTGTATTAAATTTCCTGGGGCTGTGTTACTTTAACCTGTACACTGATCTGATCTAATATACTTTGTCGTTCTTATTTTATTTACTTCTCTTGATAAGTTGTGATAAGCGTAATTGATAATAGCAGATTGCAGCAGCTGAGTTTAGATTGTATGTACTGTAAACTGATTCTATAATCTGTACACTGATTTTGATCTAATATACATGGTCATTCTAATTTTCTTTACTTCTCTTGATAAGTTGTGATAAGCGTAATTGATAATAGCAGATTGCAGCAGCTGAGTTTAGATTGTATGTACTGTAAACTGATTCTATAATCTGTACACTGATTTTGATCTAATATACATGGTCATTCTAATTTTCTTTACTTCTCTTGATAAGTTGTGATAAGAGTAATTGATAATAGCAGATTGCAGCAGCTGAGTTTAGATTGTATGTCCTGTAAACTGATTCTATAATCTGTACACTGATTTTGATCTAATATACATGGTCATTCTAATTTTCTTTACTTCTCTTGATAAGTTGTGATAAGAGTAATTCATAATAGCAGATTGTAGCAGTTGAGTTTAGTTCAAGCTATAACTTATTGTATTTACTGTAAACTACTTCTATAACATATACACTGATTCTATAACCTATACAACTGAGTTTAGTTCAAGCTATAACCTACTGTATGTACTGTAAACTGATTTTGTAACCTGTACAGCTGAGTTTAGTGCAAGCTATAACCTACTGTATGTATGGTAAATTAATTCTACAACCTGTACACTGATTCTGTGGAAAGCTATACAGTATGAAAGCGTACCAGACTAGTGTTTGTACTGTAATCCAGAAGGATTTACATGATCTGGACAAATGTACCTGTCATTTAGTAACCATCATCAATACTTGATTAACAAATTGCAGTTTTCAGTTCACATGAATCATAGGAAATTAAGTTGGCTCCATATCCATATGTCAATGGCTTAACTTAAATGCATAAATTTACACAAGCACACATGTGTGCACGCACATAAATTTGCACATCCCTCGCCCCACACCCTCCCCTATAAAAATAACCAGAACGAAAACCCAAGAGTATATGTTTACATCATAAAGTGTTGCAACTCGCACACTAAATTCATAAACGGTATTTCCTTATCATGCTACTTCATGCTCGTTCCAAGATCGAAGTACGTAATCTACATATAAGAATCCCCTTCTTTAATTGATTTCTTCTCCTAATAGACAGATATAGCATCTATGATTTTCGCCTTACCACATTCTAACTTGATATCTATGTGTTTAAGAATAAAATGTGATACTAAAATCACCATCAAGTTTAACAAAGGGACATTTATCTCTACTTGAAAGAATACATGTTTCAATTAACAGGCACCATATAGGCATATATGCTGTCAGACCAACAAACTGCACAAATAAGCTACAGTTCCAGGAATACAATGCCTGATTGAGAACCAAAACACTATAAGGTTATAAAAATTATATAAGTAATTTTGGGAATCGATTATATAACAAACCCAAATTTCGAGAAGTACGCTTGTACTTCATCATTTGCAGGACCAGCATTAATGAGCGAGCCCCCTGCCAACAGAACAACGTCGTCGAATTTTGCATACACAGAACCTCTAGAGTGGTGTATAGAACATATAACAGTATGTCGATCTTGTGCAAGGTATCTTAAGGTTTCCATCACTTGCTCTGCTTGAAAAGCATCAAGTCCTGAAAGCAGGGTTTTGTGGCGACAAGTAAAAAGGTGAACAAGCAACCACTGAAGTATAATCTTGTCTTCGCATTAATATTATGACTTCAATAATATATTCAATTGTTTCTACTAAAATCAAAATTTTCCTAAATTATAAATGTACTTCCTCTTAGATTTAAGGAGCTAGTAATATCTCACAACTGCCACCGAGGAAAGTTGATAGTTCATATCTTTTAGAAGTTTGGGTGGAAAACTTTCTATTATTACTATCTGAATGATTCAAAGTAAGTTAAACATGATACATCTAGCTTTCAAGCTGAACCTCCATTGTAGGAGGCTAAAACGGAATCCAGACACTGAAACCATTAAAAAAACAGGTGTGACATTAACGTAGAAGATCCTTACAAAAAAAACACCACTAATATACAAGAGAATAGCTGGACAAAACTAGGATGCAGATATGAATTCTATATGAAAAGAGGGAGAAATATTGATCAAGTCATTAACTAATAAATGTATGATATTGGTTTACCTCCAGTCTAAATGTTTTTCCACTAGAAGCTCATCTTGTTAGCACCATTATAAGTGAAAGATAGATGAGATAAAAGTGAAAATTGGGAGTCCCTGCTATTTTAACTTCATAGAGAAGACTACACTCTACAGGGAAGCATAGTGGCCAGATATCTATAGTTATCCTACTTTAAAACCTCTGATTTTATAAAGACTCTCCTTGGTTTATACGTGCTTCTAGAAATGTTGTAATGACTAGTTATTAATAAAAAAATAAAGCGTATAATGGCAACCAAACAAAAATACACACTGGTCAACTTAGTTGAATAAAGGCAGAAAATATGGATGATACCATCATGATCAAAGCATAATGCCAACAAACATGAACTAGCAAAAGCAATAGCTAACTTACCAGTGGCAGGTTCATCAGCAAAAACTACAGATGGACTGGCAATAAGCTCACATGCAAGCGACATGCGCTTCTTTTCACCGAACACTAATTCCACAAACTTTTGCATCACCAATTTGTGAATCAGCACAACTGACCTTTTAAAGAGACGTGAAACCAACACTACTAAGGACAAAGTAGAGAGATTTCTCTGCTAAATGCAGAAGTAATACTAACAGATTCCAGATTTTTCAAGAAATAGAAACTGAAGATAGAGCAGTAAACACATTAAAGAATGAAAGGGGAATTAACATGGAATAAGGGATTATTTGTTCATGGACAAACTATTCAGATATTATAGTGCAAAATGTAATACAATGGATATTAATCAAAAAAATTATTTTGTTTAGTATAGGATGGTTTCCTATTAAAAGTTGGATGTGAGATGTACTATTTAAAACATTGAGTACCACGGTTAGACAAAGGGAAACCTTACCAAACCTGTTTTAAACAATTGGTTGTTCACATATTTATCTCTCTCTTAAATTTAAGATACATCCTGTAGTTGCAGTTCAGCTGCAAGATATAGAGTTTCTCGAATAGTCAACTGCGAAAAGAGAAGATCATCTTGTCTAACATAGGCAAACCTGTAGGAGCAAAAAATTCCATCATCTTGTTAAGAATTTCTCTCAAGAGAAATGTAATCAGTCTAACTGAAAGTGGACGTACTTGTATATTTTGTTTGTAAATGGCACCCCATTGATGTCCAAAAGACCAGACAAATTTAACTTAGGTGATGCTTTTGTTTGACCTGCCAGAACATTGAGAAGAGTAGTCTTTCCTGATCCTGATGGACCCATTATTGCTGATGCCATCTGATTTTTTCGCTACACTATCATGGACGATTTCAGCCCTAACCAGCTTATAAACCTAATAAAAAAGAAATTCTCAAGTGTAGAATCAGCCCTAATCAGCCCATTTATACTTATTTAGTTATTAATGCTCAGGGAAAATAATCAACAGATGTGGGTAATACATCTACGAGTTAGACTTCCAAAAATCAATAAAAATCGTATCAACAACACAAGAATATCAAAATCCTAAACCTAAAATTCAGACTTTCAAAGATTGAATTACTTACCTGATAAACCCTAATCCAACAAAATCCTTTCAATGTGATGAAGCTTTAAGACACCATCTTCTCAAGCGAAGCATTTTGTTCAATTTTCAACAAGAAATATTTTAGTGAGGCGTGTTCATCTGTGAGGCCTAACCTTCAGTGAGAATATGACGGAACAGCTCTTCAGCTCTTCAACAAGAAATCTGTGAGAAAGTTTGATTGAAATTGTGTTCTTCATACTTGGAGAGAAAAGCCTAAAGAGCGTGTTCTTCAATTTGACGGAAATTTTTTGTGATTTGGGAGAAAAGAAAGTTCTAATGTTTTATGAATTATAATTTTTTTCCCAATTAAAAATTGGAGGGATACTTGAAAATGTTGGAGGGAATATAATATTTTTGTGAAAATATTAAGGCTACACTTGTAATGTGTTGTTTTTTCAATTATAAAAATAGCATATTTTAAAAGTGTGGCCATATATATAAATATTTGTTGCCAATTATATCATAATTATATAACAACACTTCTAATTTGTAGCCTATATCATTAAAGAATACCCTTTACAAAAGATGTCAATATTATCGAAGTAAAAAGTTAAAAACATTGGCTACACTTTTAAAGCGTATCCAAAAACATTTTAGGCAACACTTTACAAGCGTTGTCTAGATTTAGTGTAGTCATAGGCCTAAAATATTGTAGTGTGTACAACACATACTTTGAAAGCAATTGCTTAAGGATCTCTACTAGCAATAAATTCCACAAAATCAAATGAATCCAAACATATATGGCAACAATACGACAAATCTTTATCGTTCACTACAATCGAGTTTACTTCTGGCCACTATTCAATTTCAATCACCTGCATTTTCCTGCACATTCAAAATAAAATTATAAGTTAGAGAAAGAAATAATTCTCAATACTAGTCATTTAATGGGTAAAGACAACAAACGGGTCAAGACCCAACCCAATTCAAATTTGCTTGAGTCAAGTCCGGTAATGAGTTATAGAACGCTGGAAAACACCATCTTAAAACTACTCTGGAAACTAATTCTTTAAATTCATATTCAAACAAATGTATCAACATCAAAATTAACAAAATCGCAATATTTTTTTACCTCTTCTCTAACACAAAAAAAGTTTTGGTATGCAAGAAGAAGAAGAAATGTACGACATATTGTGAAAGAAGTTTATGGTAGTGAACCATTCTATTTTTTCTTATGACTTTTTACATTTTCACTCTCATGTACTTAATCTTTTCATTCTCCATTATTTGTTAGTTGGATGGGCTTATTTATCCTTTTTATGATAGTGATTTAAAGGCAAAAGATGTGGAGCAACAAAGCCCAGAGGAAATTCATTATTGAAGTTCAGAGTTTGATTCGAGTATGATATAAAAAGCTGCTAAGTTACATGGTTATTGTGTTGAAGGTTAGGTACATCTGATTGTATGTGATTATATTCAAGGGCAACATTCTACTAAAAGCCTTAGATTCTTAAGCGTCAACTGAACATTGCAGTTGTGTTTGCTGAGGGAATATTACTATAGGATTAAACATCATTTGATTATGTCAAGAGGTTTATACTTCATTATTACTATGATGTTCATGGAAAAGTACATTTAGTGTTAATTTACAGTTAATTATCCTACTTCAAAGGAGTGTGGATGTATTTAATTTACAATTGTATTAATTAATAAATTAAAATACTAAATAAAAAAATAATAAGTAACACATTAAATATTTAAATACTGCTTCTTCTTCCTTTAATAACTTCCTTTAATAAGAGAACGGAGGATGCAAAACATAAACAATTCCTGCTTTAGTGCTTTAAACTGTTTTAATTTTTTGATAGTATTATCATTGTAGTTAATTTAGCATATGAATTAAAAGAAAAAGAATATTCTTTGTTACTTTTTCAATAATCATTAGCAAAATAGGATTAATTACTCTTAACATTATTTTAAATAATTAAAGTTAAATTTAAAATTTAAATATTTGTATCTTGAACATTAAAAATAAAAAGTTACCATTAAAAAATTATAACCAATTCAAATTTTTACATATTTTTAACATTCAATTTATTATTATTATTTTTTTTAAAAGTTCTCCTAACTAAATTAATACCCCCACAAATCCTCACCCATGTCCCCATTACCTCCAATATAGGTGAGATATAGATCTAACACATAACAATTCAAAACATTTACATGAAGCCAAATAATTAGAGAAGATTGTTTAAAAATTGTCAAATGACGTCTTTAGAAATGCAAATCAGTTGTTTAGTTATGAGTGTTCCAAAAAATTGCTCTATTTTTTCTTAATTATATTTAAACATAATAAAAAAATTTCAATATTATTAAAAATAAATTATTTTAAATAAATAGTAATAAAAATTCGGTATTACTTCTCCTATATATAATAGGAGAAGTAAAAAGTGCACATGTCAGCACCATAAAAATTCAATAATTTTAAAATTTAAAATGTAAAATTTTAAAAATAATTTAAAAATATTTTATATATGTAGCTTAATTAACCAAAAATAAATTTTAAAAAATTAACCAACTAAATAATTCTATGTTTCTAAATAATTTAAAAATCTTCTGAACATGATTCTTAAATTAACCAAAAATGCATAAGTACCCCCCAGCCTATGTCCAAAATCCCTGAGACACACCTAACCTTTACTAAGGTCCTATTACCCCCTCCCCCCCCCTCCCCGAACTTATTTTATATATAATTTTCTACCCCTTTTCGACCTACGTGGCACTATCTTCAAAATCATTTAGAAGAGTCATTCTGGACACAATTTCCTTCTCTTGCAAGGTTCTATGTTCTTGGATTTCTTCTAGTTCTGCCAATTTTGCCAATACCAACTGCTTTTGAATTCTCAAATTACCTTGGATTGATTTACTCCAGTCCTTGAGTTTGGTCTTCAGCGCCTTCAGCTTTGTCACTAGAACAAAATTAGGATTTCCAACATTGGGAAAAGAGTCCCACCAGATCTTAACCTTCTCTTTAAACCCCTCGGTTTGAAGCCACCAATTCTCGAATTTGAAGTAAGAATTGGAGGCTCCCCAATAATAATATTAATAATAATAATAATAATATAATAATAATAATAGTAATAATGATGATCATAATAATAATAATAATAATAATAATATGTATTTTAAAATTTTAAAATGGATAAATGACACAAAAAGAGGATATAACTAAAATTAAATCACGTTTATTTTCATTAGGAAATTTTTTATCCAAAAAAATAAATTCATTTGTGTATAATTCAAAGGATAGGAAAATGCATTTTCCTTTTGATTTTGAAGGATGTAGAATTTTAAACTAATTTAAAATTACAATATATAATTAATAAAATTATAAATTCATTTCACAAAACTAAATAGCGTTGTATACAAAACTAATTTTGATGAAAATTCCCAAAGTGAGGATTCATTTCACACTTCCTCCTTCACTTCCATCCTCTCTCTCAATCTCGACTATAGGCTTCAGATTTTTGGGATCGTGAAGAACAACACCGTCCGGGATGTCGAAACGAGGAAGATGAGGTTTCGTCGGGTCTGTCGGTGGCGGCGACGGTGAACTGCGCCGATAGCACTGGTGCTAAGAACCTGTACATCATTTCCGTGAAAGGGATCAAGGGAAGGCTTAACAGGTTGCCTTCAGCTTGTGTTGGAGATATGGTAATGGCTACTGTAAAGAAGGGTAAGCCATATCTCAAGAAGAAGGTTATGCTTGCTGTCATTGTTCGTCAGCGCAAGCCATGGCGCCGAAAGGACGGTGTCTTCATGTACTTTGAAGATAATGCTGGTGTGATTGCGAACCCCAAGGGAGAAATGAAAGGGTTTGCGATGACTGGCCCAATTGGTAAAGAATGAATTGATCCAAAGCACTCTCGTTCACTCTAAAACCCTTAAACATGACGGTACACATTTCGATCCATTTTAAACCTAATTTATTAGTGAGAAAATCAATTGAATGTGATTGTTAGTAGTTTGATTTTGTAGATTATATATGCAGCTTCTAGTGAAATTAATTTTGTAGTTTTAGCAAAAATAATGTTGAATTTTGTAGTAATTGGATTTTTCAGTGAAAATAGAGGGATTTTATAGATTATATGCAGTTTGTGGCGAAATTGTGTACTTTCAGCGGAAACAATTTACCTTTGTATATTTTATGCAATTTCTGAGTGAAAGCTTATAGTTTGAGTGGAAGTAAGTGGATTTTATGTAGTCCTAGAGCAACTTTATAGTTTGAGTTGTAGGGATTGGATTTTATAGATTTTTTCCAGCTTCAGTGTAAGTTTATAGTTTAAGTTGAAATAATTGGCTTAAAAATAAAACTTTCATTTTAAGTTTATTAAAGAAAAGAAAATTTATTAACTTTTCCCTCTAATTTTTCATGCTATTAACTTTTCCCTCTAATTTTTCTACAACGATAAAATATTCCCTCCTATTAGTAATAAGAAACTTTTTTATAAAAAAAACCCTACTCCTGCTTAAAGTCTAGAGTTATTTGTATATCGCCTCAGGCCTTCAACACATTGCTCAAGCAAAGAAATTTGTGAACGAGGTACTGTAATTTCTCCTTCCTCTTTAGGGTTTTAATTTCAATAATTTTGAGTGCGTAGGGTTTTAGTTTCAATTTTCATTGAGTTACTGTACTGTGAACGAATCTGTGAACAAGTTACTGTAATTTTTTTCTTTTCTAGTTATTTGTTAATAGATTGTTTGCTGCGATAATTGGCTTGTTTGATTCGGTTTGGGTACTCATGTGATTGATTAATCCTCCCTTGATTGAGCATGACTTTCCTTAGAATCAATGGAGGGATGAAAAGCAAAGAAAGAAAAATCACTGGGGTTCAGAAACTGCTCTTCTCGACTCCTCTCTTTTCGTATTATTTTTAAAGCTTTCATGTTTTCTTTTGGTTCTGGATATTAATTTTCACGTGTTGTGATCTTGATGGCAACCGTTAGCATCAACATGTAAAGGGTTAAGGAAGCTAACAATATCAGAAAAAGAACTACTGACTTGTCTAGCATGTGTTTAGTCTTTATTGCTCGTCTTACTTCTGCGTTAATATTATCTTGTTTTTCTTTTGTTCTTTGTCCAAATTAATAGCTATAGTTGCTTTTTGTTATATGCCGAAAAATTTGTTTCTTGTTGATATCGCAGATTTAAATTCAGTGTTCTAAAACTTGACGTTGTAGAGATTTTTGGTACCATATACAGTCTGCTTCCTTTATAGTTTGTATACTCTTCATGTATTCAATTTTGAATAGGTCCTTGAATTAGCTTGGTGTCGAATTGTTTTTCTTCTTCGT